GTTGCCTTGTCGATTACACTACTCTTAAACTGAGCAACAGTGGCCCTAGTTATTATAACTTAGAAGGGAGGGAGGATCTGGGGCAGAATATCTAGACAGGAAAAGAAAATAGACTTTTCTTCACATAACAGGTCACAGTGTAAGTTCTGACTACTTGTAAAAAAAGAAAGGCGTAAGATTTGAAGAATAAGCTTTCTTTCTTTATTAATCGCTCTTACTCTCCAAGTTTATTTTCATGTCAAGTTTCTTTATCAGTATAACATTCAGGAAAAGCCAAAGTCAGAAGTCTGAACTTGCCACTTCACTTCGGCAAGCGCTTGGATGATTGTATATTTTGTGTATTGTGTGCTGCTTGTGGCACTAATGCTGTCAGGTGAAGCATCAGTGCCACAGAAGCACACACAAAATATATAATTTCCTTGAGCCTAAATACAGTAGTAATATTAGATTGATAGAACCTAGTTTTGATCAAGTGGTTAAGGATTGGTCAAGCATTTCAACAAGTTTTGAAAACGATCTTTATGATGACAGCAGATGTTTACAAGTTAAAAAAACGTGACTCAATGTGCTAATGACTCCAATACAAGTTTCCATTTTCCCCCAAACTGGAGAAAAATGCACCTGGGCCCAGGGTAAACTATGACATTTACAGCTATGCAAAAAGAACTTAAATGACAACGAATGGCCAAATGATAACAATAATTTAAAAGAGTGAATTCTCTCTACCCCCCCCCCCCCGCCAGCTTGACACAAATGCCTGTATCAAAAAGGGAGCACATTCGAAGTTTTGTCACCTGGAAGTGTTTAATTTATTCAAGAAGTGGCATTCTAAGTTAGGTTCAAATGATAGCTATAAAGTCTGCATCTCACAAGCCTTCCAAATAAGCAGTATTACATTTTTCTTAAAACAGCCAGAAAGCAATATTTGGAGGGAGAGAGAGAAACAGAAGTTGAATATTGATGTCTATTCCAATTAGGTTTAAAAGTTGTACTATTTGCACATTGTTCTGATATTTCTAGGGGTGTTATGTAAATAGTAACACCATTTTAATACAAATCAATGCAGGTGCCATAAATAAAGGTGTACACACAGTGTGTGTGTGTGTGCACGCTTTAAAATCTGGGAAGAAGTAAAATCGCAACACAGTATCTCCATGTCAAGACATATCATTTTTGAAGTGAGGGAGCTAAAACTAGGCCCAACGGTACTGTTATGAAAACACATATTCTACAGAAATCTTTAAGAGTGTTTTGAACAAGCGAGTGGCAAAGACATTTTCTAAGTAAATAAAAGAAGAAGAAACGTTTCACATCCGACACCTTCCCTATCAGATGCCCTCTTTATTTAGCAGTATAAGGAGGACTCTGCAAATTCAAAATAATCACAACCCTCATCTTAGTGGGTGTACAGAGAGGAACAAAAGCAGGAACTGCACAGGATTTAAATGGATTTCTCTCCAGTTGCTTCGGTCTGGGAATTGAAAGGGTCACCGGGTGTCAAGAAAGCAGGTCACCCATGGGGGGGGGGGGAAGCTCACAAAGCCTCTCTCCTCCCCCATCCCAAGAATGGGGAGGGGATCAAACAGTCCAATCCAGCATTGCTGTCCTCTTTTCTTTTCTTTTGCAAAAAGCTCTGCGTTTTGTTCCAATGCCTTTCCTTTCCCCTCGGCTCTCCACGAGGAAGGGAGAAACAAGCGCATACAAAGGAGATTTCCCGAACCCTAAAAAGATCTTTCTCTCCCACACCACCCCCAGTTCCACCCAGCCAATCGCAGATGAGGAGATCCCTGGGAATTGGCAAGGCGTTGTGTCCCCTCCGGCCAGGGATCCGAAGGGGGCAAGGCTGCTGGGTCCCCCAGCCCTCCTACTAAGCCTCCTTCCTCTGGAGTTTCCACCAGCTCTGGGGGGTGGCTATCTATCTATCTATCTATCTATCTATCTATCTATCTATCTATCTATCTATCTATCTATCTATCTATCTATCTATNGCCTTCCCCAGACTCCAGGACTGGCCCAGGTTCCTCCACAATCTCCTCACTGTCCGAATCTGCTGCCAGCTCCACTGGCCAGCCACAACAGTAGGAGGGGAAGCATTTACCGTAATAAGATAACCTCTGTTGTCGCTGTATTGGTAATTGAATCATTGTAGAAAAAACATCAGGTCCCGTTCTCTTTCCTGCATTTAAGAAGTTGAACAGAACAGAATAACAAGAGTTGGAAAGGACCTTGGAGGTCTTCTAATCCAACCCCCTGCTCAAGCAGGAGACTTATCCAATCGAGATCAGGTCTTTCAGTCTCCTGGCAGAGGAAATCTTGGTGCCAAATTTAATAAGCTCAACTGGCACTGGGGGCCCACAACAACGGCTTGGGTGGAGGTGTTGAAGATATGATTCATAGATCTCATGATGCAAGGATGCAGGAGCCTCTGAGATTTTCCCCTTAGGGCTTTGAAGAGAGTCACATTACAGATCTAGTGTTATCAGTGCTCCATAAATATAGGATGGTATTAGTCTCACACCTGATAAATTGCCCAGGGTGAATGAAACTTATCTACTGATTATCACAACAAAGCCTATTGACTGATAACAACATGACTATTCCTGGCCTTTATGGAGAAGGGATATTTCCTGAGAAATTAGGGCTATTGTGTTTTATCAGAGCAATTATTTTTTCCAAGGAAGAGTTAGCAGTAAAGAAGAATCAATTCCAGGGAAGGGAGTCAGTTGAGAACACAACAGGTTACAGAATGTTTTTTATCGAATATCTCCAGGGCTACTAGTGAAAACAACAATCCACAGCTAAATCACCTGGCACAAGGTTAATAGAAGCAGTGAGTGAAGGTGAGCCTGGAGAGCTTGGTTTTTTTTTTTAAACATTCAACCCCACCCTGATTTTTGCATGCCTCGATTATATTTTTCTCCTCCTCTGGCAGGCAAGGACAGAATGAGATTGCGGTGTTCTGAACATGCTGAAGACAGCAGGGTTACAGAATCAATCAGAGGCAGTCAGGTGTGACCTTAAAGGTGCAGGCTACCACCAACTGCGAAGCACATTGAGCAGCTTCCGGGCAAGCTCTTTCCCCAAATTCTAGATAAGGGGCTGGATAAAGGGTTCAGACCAGGATCGCAAAACTAAAAACACCAAATCAGTTTAAAAAAGATGTTGAGACTCTAGAAAGAGTGCGGAGAAGAGCAACCAGGATGATTAAGGGACTGGAGGCTAAAACAGATGAAGAACAATTAAAGGAACTGGGCATGGCTAGTCTAGTGAAGAGAAGGAACGCGGGAGACAGGAGAGCAGTCTTCCAATATTTGTGGGGCTGCCACAGAGAGGAAGGGGTCAAGCTATTTTCCAAGGCACCCGAAGGCCAGACAAGGAATAATGGATGGAAACGGATCAAGGAGAGATTCAACCTAGAAATAAGGAGAATTTTCCTGACAGGGAGAACAATCAACCCATGGAACATAAGTTCCCTTCAGAAGTTGTGGGAGCTTCATCCCTGGAGGCTTTGAAGTAGAGATTGGACTGCCATTTGTCAGA